TAAATTGCCCCTCGGGGTCAAATAAAGTGATATTGATTGATTGATTGATTGATTGATTGATAGACACGTGTCGACCTGGGGCTGGTCTCTGGGGCCTGTCACACTCACACTTCAGCCTCCTGGTTTGAACATCTGCTCCTCCAGATGGTTTGAGGTTTCTGCTCCTCCAGATGTTTTCAGGGTCTCCTGGAAAAGCCCATTCCTCTCCCACCTGCCTCTCCCTGACCACAGCCACATGTGCTGCTGTCTGCTGCATCACTTTAACTGCAGCTCTGGGACTATTTTAAGAAATTACGTAGTAAACGTCTAATACGCTAAGACAACAAACCTGGAATCATTCTACTACATTCAACAGAATCAAGATCCACAACAAACCCTGTCAGCCTGTCCCAAATATGAGCAGCGGCTCTATTCTGAGCTCTTTGTCACCTCTCCAATAGCGCTTAAGAGAGTTTAACATGTTTATGGAGCTGTTTGACAATCTCTACTCAGGAAGACACTCCTTACTCTAGGCACCTGCCCCTCACCCCGTCATTATTTGTCTTAAAGGCCGTGCACCTGATAATGCCTCTTCCAAAAATGTGAAAAACAGAAATAGCTCATTTTGCACAAGTTCAAACTCGATGTTTTGCTGTGGAGACAAGTAAGAATTAGCTTTTTTCAATGAATCTCAAAGAGGGGGTTTTATGGTAAATGGATTTTTTGAGCTTTTGTTATAACATTGTTCCTTCACCAAAAAAATACACCTAAAAAAGTTTTAGATGTCATCCACGCATGTTTCAGTAATTAAACAATCTCTCCTGGGTCCTGTTTGAACTGTCCTGATTCTGTGCAGTGCTTAGCCCACAAGCCATAAACATACAAAAACATGATACAAAATTATACACAACTTGACAAACCTGATGTGATTTGTAGGTGTCATTAGCAGGATGCACCCTCATTGAAATGTTGTTTTCATTGTGTATAGCATTTTCAAAACAATAAAAGGTTATATAGTGATCAAAATATGAATATGTTAAGGTCTGAGCTGCAGAGGGTTGAATAAATCACTTCTATGACATAGTTTATTTTATTTATTGCAGCTGTTTTTTAACAACACTGTTGGGTTGTAACTTATCATGTCTGTTACATTTCAACATTTTAACTTTTTTTTCAAACAATTTAAAATGTGTAATCGTGACGAGCCAAATAGTGACTGTTCCTCTGATGTCCTCATATTGGTTTGGTGCTTGTTCTTGTGTCGGTGATGGGTGATGGATGATGGCTGGCGGTGTGTGGATGATGGTTGGCGTGTTTGTATGATGGTTGGTTGTGTGTAGATGATGGCTGGTGGCGTTTGGATTGGCTGTGTTTGGATGATGACTGATTGTGTGTGGATGCTGGCAGTGTTTGGATGATGGCTGATCGTGTGTGGATGCTGGCGGTGTTTGGATGATGGTTGCTGGTGTGAGGATTGGTTGTGTTTTGATGATGGTTGGTCATTTGTGGAGGAAGGCTGGCAGTGTGTGGATGATGGTTAGTGGTGTGTAGATTGGCAGTGTGTGGATGATGGTTAGCGGTGTGTAGATCACGGCTGGCGGTGTGTGGATTGGTGGTGTGTGGATTGGTGGTGTGTGGATGATGGTTAGTGGTGTGTGGATGACAGTTAGCAAGTGTGTAGACGACAGCTGGTGGGGTGTGGATTGCCGGTGTGTAGATGACGGCTGGTGGTGTGTAGATTGGCGGTGTGTGGATGATGGTTAGTGATGTGTAGATCATGGCTGGCAGTGTGTGGATTGGCAGTGTGTTAATGACAGCTGGAGGTGTGTGGATGATAGTTAGCGATGTGTTGATTGGCAGTGTGTAGATCACGGCTGGCGGTGTGTGGATGATGGTTAGTGGTGTGTGGATAACGGTTGGCGGTGTGTGGTTGATGGTTAGCGGTGTGTAGATCACGCCTGGAGGTGTGTAGATCATGCCTGGAAGTGTGTAGATGACAGCTGGCGGTGTGTGGATTGGCGGTATGTGGCTGATGGTTAGTGGTGCGTAGATCACGGCTGGAGATGTGTGGATTGGCGGTGTGTGGATGATGTTTAGCTGCATGTAGATGACAGCTGGCGGTGTGTGGATTGGCGGTGTGTGGCTGATGGTTAGCGGTGTGTAGATGACAATTGGCGGTGTATGGCTGATGTTTAGCAGTGTGTAGGTCACAGCTGGAGATGTGTGGATTGGCGGCGCGCGGATGATGTTTAGCGGTGTGTAGATGACGGCTGGCGGTGTGTGGATCGGCGGTGCGCGGATGATGGATGTGCAGGTTGCTCTGACTTGGGTGAGTGACTGGGGCAGTGTCATAACTGTGTCTGCAGCTGCCTGGCTCTTCCGCTCAGAGGAATGTCACTGGCACGTGGCCCTCTGCGCAGATGTGCTGATGCTGTCAGAGGAGTCCCCCAGAGCTCCAAAGCTGCTCCTGTAAGATCAATGACAGGAAGACACTCACACAGGGCTGTTTGTCTCACTGTCCCCTGCACCAACGCTCACCTCTCACTCCTTTGTGAACACTAACTCGGTATGTGTGTGAAAACTGATCATATAGACCTGGATTCATTCTGAGTTAGTTCTGGTTGAGCCCTAGTTTAACTGTAGAATTGTGGCACTGACATTTTCACAGAGCAATGTTGAATCCCTTTTGGACTGGATTATTGGATTTTATTTTTTAAATTCTAATACAGCAGATGTTATGATTATTATTATTGAAACAGATCGAGTTTTGGGGATTGCTGGGAATATTTTGTGCAACCCCAAACAGTGTTAAATGAGGTAGCACAATACTTGATTATCAACCAAGACTTCACAGGTACAGTCTAGTCCATACTTTGGAACATAGGTGCATTTGGTGCCATAGTGTGGAACATTAGAGCCTAAGAAACGACCTTTGCATAGAAACAAGCAGGACGAGGTCAAATAAGAGTCAGGTTTGTGGAGATGCAATTAACTCATGCAATAAATAACCAAAATGAAAAAAGTAAAATTACTGGGCTTTGAAGGTTAATTGATACTTTGTAATAATTTGTATTACCCACCCAAAGCTATGGGTGGGGACAGGGGGTGAGTGATTTTGCATTATATGTCTAATGTCTTTTGTAAGGTCACTTGAGATAAATCCTAACATCCGTCAGTGGTTAGACACAGAGCTCTTCTTAAATGCCCGTGGTTCTTGTTTATTCCACACTTCAGTCTTAACGATTTGGCTTTGTGAACTGAACATTGAATTTAAAACTAATCACAGTCCTAAAAAAAAAAACATTTGTTCCCCAAATTATATATTTTTAGGAATCATTATCTGGCCATCAAGGATGAGAAGAGTATTACCTACTGGTCCAAGAAATTACTCAAATAAGAGTTATTTGGGAAAACCACTACACAAGGAAGAGTTACATAAAGAGTAACTGTTGGGGACAAAATCTGATGTATAATTTAAAGTAAATTTTATCAGAAGAACAAAATATTAAATTAAATAATGCCCAAAATCTGGTATTCTGAAAGGATGGACAAAAAGTGGGAAAAAACTAAACCATATCTGAAGAAATGAGACACAAATGTTCAAATAATTTTTAATTGTCAACATAAAGCTTTTGTCACTTGTACTCACTCACAAGGAAAAGAGGAACCATAACTTTTACTCAAGTAAGAGTACTGCTACTTCTGAAGATATTGCTGAAGTAGGAGTAAAAATATGCTGCTAGAAAAGTACACTGTAAAATAACATTACTTTAAAGGGCTCATATTACATTTTCTGATCCATATTCTAATGTGCTTTCCTCATCTCAAACAGAGGAGTTGTGTTTTGTTTCATTCTCACATGTTTAACATATTAATCCTGAGTTTTTCTTTCAAACAGAAAACACTGTTCCACTTTGTGATATCATGAGGTTATACATGAGGAAGTGCTCCTCTGTGTTTTTAGACTCCATACACCTTTACTAGAATCATATGCATGATTTAAGCCCTGGAATTGCCCATCTCTCCTCAACTTAAGGTAAAAGGAGCTGGTAACTTGAAAACTAACACTTCATGACATCACAAGGTGGGGCAGAGCATTTTGAGCTTTGGAGATATAGAGAGACTAATAATAAAGAATTACTCAAACATGTGTAAATGAAACAAAACACGACTCCAGACCTGTTTTTCAATGAGGTAACAACATTTTAACATGGCTTAAAGCTCACAAGAGTTAATTGTGTAATATAGGACCTTTAAGAAGTTACTCAAGTAAAAGTAACTTGAGAGTAATTGTAACTGAATACTACCCACCTCTGTTGGCCATACCTAAATATTATTCTAGCTTCTGTTGTTCTGTTCAGTGAGGCCTCTGGGAACTGTGCCTGTGCTCCAGCTCTCAGCAGGACAGGAAGTGTCTCAATGCGCCCTCTACTGGACGGAAGTCAGATCTTCCTCCCGCTGTCAGGGCCAACAGTTCACATCCTCTCAGTGTGAGCCAGCAGATACAGCGCAGGGCGAAAGGGGGGCAGTGTGGAGAGGGAGGGACGAGGGAGAGGAGGCAACGAGAGAGAGGGTGAAGGAAGAGAGAGAGAGAGAGAGAAGGGAGGAAAGAGATAGGTCGTAAGACTCAAAATCTGATTATTACTGAGGGTGCACAAATCAGATCATAATCAGATTTCGGTGTGTATGTGTAAATGCAGCCAGTGACTGATGGTGGTTACTGAGATGCAGCAGGCGCAGAGCCAGCGAGGCAGGAGCGACAGGTGCAGAGTGACAGGTGCAGAGAAGTGGTGCAGGAGTGACAGGTGCAGAGGGGCAGGAGCGACAGGTGCAGAGGGGCAGGAGCGACAGGTGCAGGCAGCTCATAATCAGCCTCAGGTCCATGTGTCAGAGCTGTAAAGATTCCCAGCTGCTGCAGAGAGAGGGAGAGGGAGAGAGGGCAGCGGGCACAGAGAAACCTGATTAGTCTGATCAGTCAGATGAATTCTGTTCATGTGCTCCACAGATGACAGAAGCACTGGTTCTTTATAGAGACTTTATTTGCACATATACAGTGGCTGCTTTACATCACTCTAGACTGACATTTGTACATTTAGTGCCGCTGAAAGGCATCTATACTGGAAATAATGGCACATGAATATAATACAAGTTAGCGAACAACAAAATCACTTTTTACAACTCTGTTAGCCACCAAGTCCTTTGGCGTGCCATAGTGCAAACTGCGTCATTCTGCACACAGCCGTGTGGCGGCCGATTCAAGTCCCTCCGAGGTGTCTGAGATGAGAAGAGCGAAGCTAAACTAGGCTGTGTTTTACCCAGAGGTGCTACTGCAGTGATTTAGCCCTTTAGTCACAAGGTTTCACAAGCGCTGAAGCTGGAGTGGAATGGTGCTGTGAAAATGAGACTTCAGTAAATTGCACTTGTTTTCCTACATTCACTTTGAGCCCTGGGCTCCTGCCTCCACTTTGGTTCAGCTGCACCTGCCAACAGTGACCACCAGGGGACATCAGCATGATTAAAGGGGATGATGGGAGTTGGATTGAAGCCAATTCCTTCTGTGTCTGGAGGTGATACTAGTTTGTAGTAAACCCTGAATCTTAAGTGCTGGCCCCAACAGATTTTGCAGTGTCCTAAATATGGAAACCTGGTGCAACCTCCTTTGATAAAAACTCTGGTCACTGTCTACAGGTGCCGACCTGCCACATCTTTGGTCAGTCCCGGTGCGGTCTCAGAGACAGCCGCAGCGGTCCACCACCATGGACGGGATCTTGCCGTAGATGATCTGCTCCTCGTGGTTGAAGTAGAGCATGTTGATGGGGGACATTTTGGTGGGCGTGCAGCAGGGGCCGGCGGTGCCTCGGGGGTTGGCGTTGTTCACCAGGTGGGTGTGGGGGTACTTCTGCAGGTGCATGTACTCGCACTCGCCTGAGCAGTAGTTTGCTTTGAAACGTTTGGGGGCGATGATCCAGTCGTAGCCAAAGTCCTCAAAGTCGACGGTGAGAGGATATCTGCAGCAGCGCGATTCAGAGGAGTTCACGTCACAGTCCAGCCCCACGTCTCGACGCTGACGCTTTGGAGGCTCTGCCAGCTGCACCTCCAGGAAGGGCATCTGTGAGAGAGAGAGAGGGCTATGAGACCAGTGCACTCACTGCCTTTGACAGCAGTGCAGTCCCATAGTGTGTAACTCTCTGCTGGACAAATATAGCCTGCTAATGTGTAGCACACATCCAAGTATTTCTTGTTTCTGGCTGCAGTTGTTACACCACCTCTGGCAGCAGTTTTCATACATGTCAGTAATGATATGAAACAGTAGATGGGGCCCTGCTGCTGTGGCTGTGTTGTGTCATTGATAGTGAAGTGGATGTGACTCACAGGAATGTGCAGGTGAAGTGTTGATTAGCACAGTTCACTGAAGTCTTGAGCTTGAATGGAGAAAAGCTGCTGACTGAGCACTGGGCACAGCACACAGAGGCTTTCATGGAAAGAGGACCAAAACACCCAGTCCTTCACATGTACAAGTCTGGCCCGGTCCCAGTGCCTCTGTGAGGAGCTCTACACTCAAATATCCTGAGTCTAAAACTGAGAGCCACACATGGCCTGACCGGGTTGGCAGTTCAATCCCATTACTGCATTGCTTAAAGTCCTTGAGCAAGGCGTTTGCAGCTCACTGTATTCATATACTGTAGTGTATGTGATGTATGACTGTTTAGGTGTTTAGGGAGGGGCACAGGGCACCGCTGAAATCTGACTGGCTGCTCCAGACGCCACTCCACACACAGAGGCTGAGGCAGCATCACATAAATAAATATTTAAACACATTTGACTAATAATGCTGTATCTATAAAATGACAGACAAAGCCTATTTGTTTGTACTCACACTCAAATATGTAATCTAAGTCATCGCCTTAGAGACGGACTGGCCTGGTGCCACTTCAGTGTAATGTGGACAGCCGCTGGAGACTCCACGGGCACTGAATGACAGCCATGTTTGTTTGTCTGTCCCAGGGCAGCTGTGGTCTGCTTTGCGCACTGGCAGTGATTGCTGTAGCTTATAGTCTAAGATCTACAGCCTTGATACCCTGAATAAATCCATACCTCAACCAGCCCACAGCTAAACCCGTGATGTGTGCAGAGAGCAGCGCCTCACCAGCCCCTCTTCCTCGGGCGCAGCGGTGGTCACGGCCAGGTCGCGGCCTCTGGAGTCGAGGGCGCGCACCTCGATGCCCCAGTTGGTTTCGGGCTGCCGCAGCCACACGCTCAGCACCTGCTTCACGTCGATGCTCTGCCACGAGCTCACGCCCGCCGACACGTCGATCTTCAGAGAGCGGATCCGGATGTGTCTCCCGCCCGCATGTCCCGGAGCCAGGCGCGAGATCTGCAGAAACACCGTGGTGGGCTCCGGGGACTGGCGCAGGTGAACCCACAGCTGAGCGCGCTGCACGCGGCTGGAGTGAAGCCTCTGCCCGAAGGAGAAGAGACAGCACTGCGGCCGGCCCTCCACCTGCACCCGCTGGTCCGCTGTGAGGAGAGAGCGGACCGTAATGTGATTTTACTCATAAAAGTCATGGAGCCAGAGCCAAGCACATTTACATTCTAACATTCTAATCTCTGTTTGGCATTAAATTAATTTCCATGAAAGCGCGTGAGTCATGAGTGTTATTCTATCCACACGCACGTGGAGTTTCCAGCTTACCTCAGAGCGCACGACAAGAAGGAAACAGGATACATTGTCCTGCTTTGTATTTAGTTTTCAGTAAAGCAACATGACATTATTCTTGTTATTTGTAGATTAATTAACCAGTTCTAAATAGTTCAAATTAAAAGTAACAATTTATTAAAGCAATATATAGTCTAAATATATATCTAGTCATAACGAGAGGGGAAGGACACCGTGATTTTTTAAACTTCTTCCTATTCTTTTTGAGCGTTGTGGTTTTAAACTCTCCTGTTTATAATTTACTTGTTATTTTTCTTTGTTTTGTTTAAGCTTCTAGTAAAAGAAAAAGAAAGTGCAACTAAATCTAAGCGGTGCTCTAAGCCTTCAGAAAAAGAACTAATTAAAGTCTATATAAGTGAATTCAAACGAATCAGCGGCCTGACGCGTTTACTTATGTTTTAAACAGATTCTGGTGGTTTTAAGTGAACGCGACTGGTCCACGTCCAGAATGATGACTAAGTAAAGTTTTGTTAAGCTCTAAATACTCAGCACAGCACATCACACAGAACACATGACACAAAGAATATATCACGGAACAGCCTCCAGACATACGAAGCAGATTTAGATGAAACGATGCGCTCTCCAGGCTGTGGAGTTTATTCTAAACTGGACTTTTCGGTGCGTAAAAGCCGTGCGTAAAAGCCGTGCAACACTTACGCTCCGTGGCCATGAACATGATGGTGTCGGTGGTCGCGTGCTCGTCGTCCTCGTGCAGCCCCGGGTCCCGGTTGTCATCCCCGAGCACGTCGTACTGGTCCAGCAGCTGCTGCAGCGGCGGCGCTCGTGGCATCAGTGCGCGCACCGCGTCACGGCTGATATTTGGCGCGTGCTTCATGCGCAGTTTGCTCAGGATCTGCGTCTTGATCGCGTTCAGCCGCAGAGTGCGGATGTGCTGCCGGGCCTCGCAGCTAGAGCACGGCCGGTCCGCCTCCTCCGGGACAGGCTCCGGTTCACCGAGCACCAGCAGCCCCACAGCCACGAGCACACTCACGCACAGCGCCAGCTCCGACACGCGCATCTCTCTGTTGGACCGAGGAGATGGAGAAATGTCGCATCACGCTTCATTTGCGCGCGCCTTTTATACCGAAACTTCCACCGCTTCGTGTCGTCTGAAACTTTGATTGGCTGGACAGCAACAACTCCGGACCGACAGTCACCCACACTTTTTTGTCCAATGGGACTGTGAGCGCGTGAGCCGCGTGCGTGCGCAACAAGTGCCCAGCGAGCGCTGGGCTCAACTAAACGCGAGATAAATTTTAAGATACTTTAACTTCATATGACTTGATTCACTTTGGTTCCCCGGGAATAATAATAACACTGACATTCATGAAGCAGACTTATGCAGAGGTCAGGCTGTCACGTGTGCTTCAACTCAACACTCTTGGCACTTTGTCAAACTCCGTTCCAAAACAAAATTGGTTTGGATGAAGCACTTTCAGCTGCGGACACGAGCCTGGCCTGGTCCTGTGCGCGCGGCCCAGGGCTGTGCGCGCGTTGTCCGATCCCGTCTTTGCTGCAGGTGCTTGATGCAAACAAGCGCTCCTCCGAGCTCAACCTGCTCACGGGTCACTAGAGTTCACTCAGGTTTGCGTGTAAAGACATGGCGCCCTCCAGTGGCACAGTGAAGTACATCGAAGGAGCGCGTGGTGAAGATGCGACGACACCAAACGATTCAGTTTTGAGTGTTTGATGGAAGTATTCACTTTTCCTGTGACAAACACTTAGTATCCTAATGTAAGCAGACTGCACACAGAGGTTTGTTTACCTGCATCAAAAAAATTTAACAGTGACATTACATAAACTAATAGAAGTGCAACGTGATAGAAAAAAATGGCACGACATGTCACATGTCCATAAACTGAGAATGAGACAAACTTGTATGTGTCCTGTGTCTGCAGGTTAAGGCTCTGGGGACACAGGTTCAGCTGTGATTGCAGTCACTTCTTATAAATGTTTGATATATTACTCAAGTAGTAAAAATATGGGGTCAGGTGATGTCAGTGAGCACTACCTGTCTCTCTGATATGTATGTGTGTGTTAAAATAACCTGAACATGTCTCCTCAGGACTCATTCCATTGGCAGTTCTTTTAACTGAAGCTCAAATTAAGATCAGAGCCCTGTTTATTTTGTAGTGCCTGCCTGATGTTTTCATGATTTTCTAAAATTCTGATTTGGTTTGGTGGAATAGTTTCTAGTATGGTTGCTATAGGTAACCGTTTTACATCTAAAGAAACAGAGAACGCACACCAAAATTCTTGTAGAGGTGCAAATGCAGGGAGCAGCAAGACAAAAGCGGATAAAAAATGCACAGCACGTCAAATATTTTTCTTGCTTTGGATTTCTTCTTTGTGTACTGTGGTCCACGATCTGAGTGTGATATACATTTTTTCACTTTTGAACAGTTTTACATCTACCTGCTGCCCATGTTCAACCAGGAACAAAAAGATAAACTTCATCAATTAAAACTAACATTAAAAACAGGGTAAGATTTTACATTTTTACAAAAATCTTAATTTATATTATGCGATTTTCTGATGTTATAATGTTGTTTCCTCATCACAAACATACCTGGAGTTCTTCTCTCCAACTGAAAACACTCTGTTCCACTGTGTGATGTCATGTGGTAATACAGGAAGTGCTCCACTGTGTTTTTAAACTCCATACACCAAACACTAGACGCTAGAATCATTTGGATCATTTGAGCCCTGGGGTTGCCAGTCTGTACTGAACAAAACAAAGTAAAAGGTAGCTGCTATGAAAAACACCTTCATGACATCACTAGGTGGAACAGAGCATATTGAGCTTTGGAGATGTAGACAGACTAATAATAAAGTTAAGTTATTATTAACTTAAACATGTGTGAATGAAACAAAACATAATACAGGTATGATAAGGTAAGAACATTCAAGCATTTTTATTTATTTATTTTATTTAAATTGTGTTAACTTACAGTACCGATCAAAAGTTTTAGAACATCACATTTTTCCAGTTTTTTACTGTTTATTGTGTTTGAAATGTCATTTCAGAGTGCAATGAGACAAAAAAGAAACCTGTACTTAAAAAAAAAAGCATAGAATAAATAAGCAGTTTGAGTTGAAAAATAAATCATGGAATCAATTTGTAAACCAAAACATATTTTCAACTTTTGATTCATGAAAGTGAATGAATCTTATCTTTTTTTCACCTCTGTCTGTTCAGTTTTTACCTTTGTACCATTTCAAGCTCTTCATTGGATTTACACAACTTAAACTGCAATAAATAACTACAAAAATGAGGGTGTTTTAAAAGTTTTGACTGGCAGTGTAAAGTACGGACTGCTAAAAATGTTATTACTTTACTTGTACTTCATTACCTTCCTCCAGTCTGCAAAAAAGCTTGGCCAAAATGAAAGATATAAACACTTAAATTTATCAGAAAATGACTTAAAAGTAGTGAAACTATCTGTCCATGCAGCAAGATCACTTTACTTCACAAATTCTCTTAGAGTAAACCACCTCTAGACTAGAATGAAGCAGTTTCAGAACTAGTACGTGTTGTGATATTCATTGGAACTACACTACCGGTCAAAAGTTTTAGAACACCACACTTTTTACAGTTTTTTACTGTTTACTGTTGACCAAAACATATTCTAAACTTTTGATTGATGTGTGTGTCCACCTTTGGCAGATAGAACAGCTGAACACACTCGTGGCTCGTTCTTTTTATAATAGAAATCAAATATTATTCAGAAAGTTCTTCCAAGTCTGTTGCAGAAGTTTCCATAAATGTGTGGCACTTGTAGGTTGCTTCACTCTTCTGTCCAGTTCATCCCAAACCAGCTCCATGGGGTTTAAGTCTGGACACTGTGCTGCTGCTGGACACTTCATGTTTTCAAGCTTTACCATCTCGTTCTTTTTTCCTGAGGTCGTTTTGTCAGAGCTTGGACTTGTGTTTTGTATCTTTTATCTTTTTGTTGTAAACTCTGTCTGTTCAGTTCTTACCTTTGTACCATCTCAAGCTCTTCACTGGACTTGAATTGCAATAACTAACTGAAAAAACGAGGGTGTTTTAAAACTTTTGACTGTAAGTGTAGGTAAAGTATGGACTGCTAAAAATGTTATTACTTTACTACTTGTACTTCATTACCTTCCTCCACTCTGCAAAAAAGCTTGGCCAAAATGAAAGATATAAACACTTAAATCTATCAGAAAATGACTTAAAAGTAGTGGGGTTTAAGTCTGGACACTGTGCTACTGGACACTCCATGTTTTCAAGCTTTACCATCTTGTTCCTGAGGTAGTTTTGACAGAGCTTGGACTTGTGTTTTGTATCTTTTATCTTCTTTTTTTAACCTCTGTCTGTTCAGTTCTTACTTTTGTACCATTTCAAGCTCTTCGTTGGACTTGAATTGCAATAAATACTTTAAATAACAAAGCTCAGACAACAGTTCTCGCACTTGACCAGCAGATGGCACTGTCGCACAGCGGACCTCACGTTTCCAGACTCGCTCGGATCGTCTCAGCTGCGGCGTCTGGACTATGTTTTACAGTTTTACCCCCCCGCACGCGCCTCGGACTCGGGATTGGAGCACGGGAGCCCGCCCTGACCGCTTCACCACTTCTCCACCTGCGTCTCCGTGCGTAAACGACACGCCAATGCGCCCTGGATGTACCCGCTCTGTCGCTTTAACATTCGGGACGCGCATCATTTCGCTCTTGGCTCACGTTGGAGAGGTTTATCATTGAGGAATCTCGCAAAAAAAAAAAAAAAAAAAAAAAAAAAAGAGAGAGACACTGGAACTTGGATCGCGGGGGCTTCGGTCGTGAGACGCATTCCGAATTGGACGTTGTCAAGTTTTGCTTTGCGACGTAAAGACGGAACAGCCCGCGTTAGATGAAGCAAATTATTATTATCCACATGGACGACCTTGGTTTTATTCGTGCGTGGATTATTTTCTGGCGGTATGGACGTGACCTTCGCGCACTTTGGTAAGTAGGTAACGTAAATACGATTGTCAGTGCCATATGCGCCGAGTTTGGTCATGCTAAGGCCAGTGACCCTCTGTGGGGCGAGCTAAGAACAAGCAAATAGGAACAATGACAGGTAAAATGTTAAAAAAATTAAAATAAAATGAACCAAAACTAAACCAGGGCTGATTCAAAACTGGGATTTTTTTTCACTCTGTAGACAAAACTTAAAATTCTATTCTCGTTTGGAGTCAGGGAGGACATGCACACTCCCCTCAGAGAAATCAGGAGCCTAGGGGACAAATCAGGAGCCTAGGGGACCACTCTGCCACAGTAGCACAGGGAGAACATGCACACAACTGATTTCATTTTAAGGGCCCATATTACACTACGTTTTCTGATCTGTGTTATAATGTTGTCGCCTCATCATAAACACATTGAAGGTTTGTTTGTTCTTGTCCCAAACTGAAAACACTCCACCTTGTGATGTCATGTGGTAATACAGGAGGTGCCCCACTGTGTTTTTAAACTCCATACACATTCATGAGAATTATTTGGATGATTTCAGCCCTGGAATTGCCGATCTCTACTGAACTAAAGGTAAAAGGAGTGAAAACATGACATCTCAAGGTGGAACAGATCATTTTGAGCTTCGGAGATGTAGACAGACTAATAATAAAGGATATAGGTCTGTTTTTGAGGAAGTAACTAGGTTTTAGGACATAGATTTTACATTTAAACCAACTGGATTTCAGCATTGAAACTGTTAATTGGGTTGCCAGTTTGAGAGACTCACGTGAGGCTCATTCTGCTTTCTGACTGGAGAATTGCGCCAACTAGTGCCTCCGCTCAATTTCATTTCTCTCCAGCAACTAGGTCAGGAGTTGGAATACACTAGACGGTTTGCAAGAATCCCGGAAGTTGTAGACCGTGCACCGGCCAATCAGCGAAGAGCTGTGAAGCCATGACTTTGTGTCTGTCTGGGTCCCTTTTGTGGAACAGCACAACAGTAAACAAAAAGGTCGAGATGGATGTAGACGAAGACAGACATTCTGTGTTGGCAATGATTCC